AGAAAGCTTGAACACCTTTGTAATGGCTTGCCCAATCTGTGTACCTTTCTTTGAAAATATATCTTCTCAGCTAAGGAGTACGAGGTCCGCTAACTAAATTCAAGCCTCCTGCTGCTGTCCTACATCCTTCAAATATGCTACATATAATTCAGATTGTTACTGCATTTTCAAAAATTATGTGGACATGAAAAACTGTTTCCTTCTACTCTTTACATTGTTAATCATCTAAAATTTTATATAAGAATATATTATTTACAAAGAAGCCTTATAAATTTTGAGCTAAAGGTGGTTGAGTTCTACTATTAAATATAATTGGATGGATCCATGATACCATTTGCTACCTTTGTGTTATATTTTAAAATGTACTGTTTTTCTGAGGTTTCTCCTTTGTTATAACTTCATATTTTTCTTTCAGGTTCATTGAAAAGTTTGGCACGCATATTATTGTTGGCATAGAGATGGGTGGAAAGGGTGTGATATTCCTGAAACAATAACACTCTTCTTCACTTCAACCGGTTGATGTGCAGAAAAGATTGAAAATGATGGCTAATAAAATGTTTCTATATGCAAATGAACAATATGGAATGAATACAAAACAAGTATACCAGACTGAGAAGGTTTGAAATTATTTTCTCTGCATTCAATTCATGCCAAGGTACAACTTTGAAAACTAAGAAGTTGTTTTAATGTTTTCTCATCTGCACATCTATTAGTACTCAAAATTTTCTTTAGGTCTTCAATTCAATTTATGCGAAGAACATAAATTATGTATCTTATCTCGAAAGAAGCGGATATTAGAAAAAACCAGTTTTCTCGATAGAATTTGGTTCAACAATTGAAGTTTGTCACTTTTTTTCTCCCCTTTCCAATGTTTTGCCTGCTTGGAAATTAAAATTTGTATGATCTCAATGGGTCATTAGGTCGGAATTTACTTACTAAACTACTACTTGACTGTCATATATTGCATATTATGGCTGACAATTTTAGAACTTAGATGTTCTGTTAAGTGTTTTGCATTATTTTACAAAGCAACCAGTATGTATACTGCTGATTTGTTCCCTTGATGCAACTAGAATCAGCTTTCTCTACAATTTAGTGGTTGATTGGAAATTGAAGCTATAAGATTTCGAGTCATCATAGACATGTAGTTACTTGTTATCAACTT